CATATCATTTATAGCATCACAGAAGTAGTTAAATGCACATTTACCAATCCATTCATTTCTAGGACCATATATCAGTTTGGAGTTGTTATCCTCCCAGGCAAGTCTGATGCCAGTTTAGTGACTCCGATGGAACGGATGGCCTGATTTACCAAGAGAAGCAGCAAAATCAACGAAAATATACATCGTGGAGACCTCTAGTCGTACGTGTTCCTCATAGCTGCTGAAGAAAAAGCTTTCGGCGTTGATCAATCCCTGAGGGATGCGCCATGCAATCGACTTCATTAAGTATCGTTGGAGCTGATTGAATGCAAGTGTTGACTTTACAATGGTTCATGATGGCCTGCCGATGTATCGAACCAGTGCTGCTGTCCTACCAGATAAGTCTGGTACCAATTTGCCGACTCCGGAGAGATGGAAGGCTTAGTGGAACATGGGCACGGGATCGATTCCACATGTGTGTTGCAGGGCGTCTCCGACCACTGCGCCACACCCACACCTTGCCATAGATGTTAGAGATCATATTAACATTATAAGAAACTTTCCTTTCTGCAGCACGAACACTTCGAACTTTTGTCTGTTAATGAGAACTCTTCACATATGGAGTTCAATGCTGCATAATAAGATAAGGTTTTGTTTATTCTTATAAGTGAGCTTCATGCATTCATTCATGGAAAGCATACAATTATGTCAACTTCACGTGATCGCCGTAGGCAATCAGTAGACAGTTGACGAAGCCAAGCGTTACTATAGCCACGTGTGAATGTGTGTGTTTATGTGAGAGAGAGAGAGAAGAGAGAGAGATAGCAAAGGACAAAGGAGAGTTTGCCGTGCTACCTAATAAAGTTAGTCGGTAAACTCGATACGAATATGTGCATTGTAAAACCATCACCTATGGTAAAGGAGGATCTAAGGTTTTGTCATGAAAGAAAAGTGGTTCAGAAACAATGTTTTTGCTAGTAATCGAACAAGAGTAATTATTACGCAACAATTATGAATTGTGAAAAAAATCTTCTGACATCACTATATAGGCGCTAATGGCCGAGTTCATCAATCATGTATGTTTTGTCAATAAGCTTTGATCTTGGGTTCCCTTGCCTTTCATCACTCTCCCCTTTATTTTCAACAGCCTCTTCGATGGCCATAACGATGTGGTGAAGAAGGGTTGTATCGTGTGCCGAAGTACGATATACATGGAGGGAAGAGTGATCCAGCTTTCAGTAGGATCTCCCAATCTGGTATAATCCAAAATTTCTTATCAGAAGACCGGCTAGGAGCAAATTTTTTCTAATGCAGTGAGTGCTCAGCCGACTACCACAGGTTGGTTTATTGGCTTAATACAGTGAAAGTAAAAATTTCGTAACTAATACTGTAAGACTATTTCTCTCTATCAAACCAGCGCTTCCCATTGGGTAACGAGCTAATGATGCTTCTATCGAGCAATACTGTTACTAAAGGGTTTACACACGATGGAGGCGATCTATTAATAAATGACGTATGTTGAGCTTCACTGGGCTTCCCATAATCTTCCCATAAGCAAGTTGTAAGACAGCAAATGAAAAAACTCGACAAGTGTTTGTTATAAATCAAAGAATAAAATTAAGGTTTTTATTAGGCTTGAAAGGATTATTTAACTTTGATGGTTTTCTGTTCTGTAAAACCATATTTGGTTTATTCATAGAGATAAGCAGAAAAAAGTCAAAAACTTTCAGAAACGCAAAATATTGAATTTTTATTCTTTAAAAATCAATAAAAGACGGTTTCGTTTTCCAGATACACTCAAAACGCCTGAAGATTGATTGTAACAAAAATTTTGCTTCAAGCGGTTCTTCAGAATGCGGAACGAAATTGGTCGCTGACATGTTTTGGATCATTCTAGTATTATCTAACAAGAAAATGAATAATATTTCAATTAAAATTGTTTTTTTGTAAAAGAAAGAAACAACATTAAGACATAGATTTCGTCGTGATTAATGGATGTCTTTGTTTCATTTATACTTTTCACTCGTCAGGGAAATCATTTGCGATTTTCATATTCACCGCAACTATGAGGTTTTCAGGACAACGAGTCACCATTTGCGGTGATGACTTTATCCTCTTGGTAGCGTGACTTAAACCAGACAAGTGTGGTATTTTCTCTCCAACAAACAATGAACTACTTACAGGAATCGTCTTGTCCATTAAGAAACCTAGTGGATGAGGCGGTAGACCTACCGATCCACATGGGTTATCGAGTACTTAAGGCGATCGAGTACTTAAACACCTTGTTACAGCTCTCTGGGAGCTTCCGAAAAGAGTTTGCTTCACCATGGAAACTACGGTCAAATGGGAATTAGGCTGGCCAGAGTAGTCCCTAGCGTTTCGTAAAGATGGGACAAATGATTTAAATCAAACATCTCAATTCAACACTCATAATATTGCGAACCCTCCTTATAGTTCATTTTCTCGTCTTGCTGCGGTGGGAAATTTTAAACTACGATATTGAAGGAAAGTTCACCACCTTTTTCCCAGCAAGGAAATGTGAGAAAGAATTCAACTGCTGCATTAGGACGACCAGCTAGAAGTAAACCAGTGCACAAAAATTCTAGCTGCCAAGATTTTTTGGATAGAAAAGCCTGAGCACGTCTTCGTGATTCCGACAAAGGAAAATCTTGCCCAACCAGTAAATTACCAGTGAAATGAGGTTTGTACTCGAGCCCACGCGATTATTCATAAATTCTAAAACAAGCTATTTAAGTATTTAAGCACCTAGTAGGCTTTACTACATATAGATATCAATGTCAGACACATTTTTTTAAATTTTTTATCTATTTGACCTGTCTTCACGTTTATTATCCGGACCCAAGGATTTCCCACATTCGAATCGTTTCCTTGCATCCATTATCCACAAAGACATTCCAACTTTTACGTGTCGCTTCGGCTGTTGCTTGACGATTTTCGTTTCATTTTGAATGTCGTAGAATGCTGGTTGACTCGATTCTCCCTGGAGTCCTGAGATAGCCGGGTTAGAGCATTCCCAACTGGATTGAGTGTTTTTTCCGTAGAAACCCGCTATCAGCTTTCTGACCCAGAGGGATGAGAGCATTGATGGCCCGGAGTGGAGTCGAACTAGCACCATGCTCGTGATAACCGACATCACTGCCACTGTGCTATCACTCGCCTAGTGTGTCAGACTTAAAAGGTGGTAATAGTCTACTCGATGCTTGCAATTAGATTTTTTTTAAACTACAAATTTAAGTTAATGATTCTGAAGAGGTCATAGCCACTCCACAGTTTTCTAGGCGTGATGCTCGTCTACACCAAACCAGTAACCATTCCTCATTCTCATCTTCACATAATTTTGTCAACATGTATTTTTTTAAAGCACAATTTTATCGTTTATCATCCTGCTACCCATTTTTCGACAAGTTACATTTTTCTTCTCTTATTAATCGCAAAAGTGCGTAGCACAGCGGTAGCGATGCGGACCATCACGAGCACGGTGCTGTCTCGAGTCAGCTCCGGCCTCTTCTCGGTTTGCTGTTATGAAATTGGTGCCAGATTTAAATGGAAAAAAGTTCACTCAGCAGTCCATGTAGAAACACTCTAGCCAGAATGTGTCAGGACTCTCCGGAGAATTGACTCGACCAGCACTCAAAGACATTCACGACCAAAGGAAAATCCTGAAGCAGCAGCCAAACCCACGCGCAAAATATCGGAAGACTTTCGTGGTTGATGGATGCTGAGAAAATAATCGACTAATCGAATACGAAAAGTGGTGGGATCCTTAAAGTAGAAAGAGCTGAAAAAGGCGGGTTGTTTAAATAGTTATAATCAGGGCAGAGCTCATCCTAGCTAATTCATTCGACCAGTGTGGACTTCTTTCTTTTGGTCCGACTTTAAAAACAACTGCATAGATGTAATTAACCCACCATAATTGTGGCTCTTCCCGTTAAATTTTTGGCTTAAGTCAACTTGTTACAGCGTGATTAGATTTCTATTCTAACCGTTTCTATAGTCACCAGCGATGGCCCCAGCGGCATAACAACCACATTCATTCAGTCACATGGCCTCAGCCAGGTGATTCGATGGCATAACTCTGATATTTCTTTCTAGGAATAAAACCTGCTACTATTAAAAATCATTGGATCTTTTACTGCTAGTCGTTTTTAAGATCACGCACAGAAAACAGAAGAAGAGAATAAGAAGTGTTGCAAGAACGATCGGCTACATTTCGTCCTTAAACCCTAAAAATGAAGACTGAGGAGCACTACGGTATATTATGGTATGCCAATTGCGATCATTGAGCCCACTAGCCGTTCCCTCGACGTTCAAGAAAATGAGGCATGAAATGAATTGCGGAGAGTCCTCTCATGCAGTAATTCAAATAGTTGCAGAAGATATAAGCTAAATATATAACTTTCTAAAAATCTAAAGAGTCAGGCTTCATTATGAATAGTTCAATATTTGAAAGGAAAAAATCTAACAACAACTCTGTTTTTAACCACAACTATGTTGATATATTTGCAAAACTCAGATTCCGGGCCAGATGGAACCTGCGATTACATTTCGGGAGTTCACGTGTTACGCACTCATTGTGGTCGTATTTCACAAAACACCCTAACATGAAAAGTTAATTAAAACTATTAAATTAATTAAACTAAAATTATTTAAACTGGAGAATAAACAATAAATTTGAAACCGCTTATAGCGATTCTCTAGTCCGGCCCCTATGTCAAATATTACGGTAATTTCGATCCATAACAATAATAAGGGAATATTGGTGGGGGGGTGGTGGAGGAGCAATTGAATGCTAGTGGATTAAAACAATCAATGGTGAAGGAGAATAAGGCCGCAGTTGTAAGTTATTGGAAAATAGGCCTTAATCTTTAATAGGCGACTGCACTTCGGTTATGGATAATATGATAATCATATAAACTTCATCCATAATGTGATTTCTCTTACGGTCTTTTTTCAGTTTTACTTATTTCAGTTAAGAAAGTGTCGAAAAATTGCGACGTTTTTCAATGGCTTCTGCCCTGTTCACCATCGTTACGGAACGGAGCAACAGTCGTTTTCTGATGTTCAGAGTCGCCATGGCTACCGGCGTTGATTACCTGCTGATTACAATAATCTCATAGACAGAGTGCGTCAGAGATATTAGAAGAGTCCGAGGAAGTTTTCTAGCCTGAGAGGGAAAAGTGACAACCTTCTAAAATAATCCTTGGAAATAGAAGCCATCTAGAATTCTCATATTAGGTTCTCCGACTTTCGTCTTTGCAGCATTTAAATAGTGCTTGCAGGATTTTCTTGACGTATAAAAATAACTGACACTTTTATATGAAGGACACTGATGCCTTGCTCATAGCTTCAAGCACACAAAAATTTCTCTGCCAATTTGTAAGGGGATTTCAGAAACGTTAAAAGACTCCTTGAAAATGTTGTGTATTAAGGGTGTGGAGTAGTTCCCCTTCTAGTGAGGTTGATTTTCCTTCACGCTTTAAAAAACTATTGCAAATTTAGGTTATTTAACAACTGATTAAATAACCCTCTAGGAATTAAAATAATATAGGTTTGTAAGAAAAGGTAAAAGAAATCCAAGGAAGATTGGCGCGGTAATCCTTATTTTCCACATCGTCGCATCGTTTTATTCATTAGGATTTGTAGTTTTTCCATAAATAAAGTCAAATCCACTGGACAAGAGCCAATTTATTTTTGAAAAAATCTCTCGTTTTAAGGCAAACACACGCACAGACAAAAACCGTGGTGATTCGCTACAGTTCATTGTATGGTGAGGATCCTAGCTGCACCTAGTCTCTGATGGTGATAATCGTAAACTGGCCGGATAGCACTGTACGGTTTTGTCTTAGGACGAGGTCGATAACCATTTTTGCTTATATAACACCGGTTTTGATGAATAAAAACTTCTGACGTTTTCGGTTAAGAAACTCACCGTACAATTAAATTGTTGACATTGTTTTGAGAAGGTTTTCGATGTATAATCGATCAGTTTCACACAGGCCAAACTGCCAGCTATACATTCCTATAAATAAATAGAAAATAGAAAACCGTCGATACCTCAACTACAAAAAAAGTGGGAAAAATTAGATAAATGTGGGCAAAATAAGTGTTAACTACTATTGCTGAAGTGCTTTATCGTGTTTTAAGCAGCACGTTCATCGGCTGTTCTTCTGAAAAGGCATAATAGGTTTTTCTCGAGGTTTTGATTGTTTGCAAATCAGCTGTACTGTCCTTTTTTTTCTTACTTTTTCATTTTCCTTCTTCTTTTCTTGAAAAAAGGAGATTTCTGTGCTGAATTTAATGAAGCGCTCTTTACAGAAGTTAGGCATTTTTAACACAAAAATCTACAACAATTTAAAAAATAGAGTAAATACAGTAGACTGGAGCGCATCCACAAAAAAATTACCGTAGGCTGAGTTTCTGGAGGAGATGCGAGATTTGCTGTAGCAACTTGATGACATTTAAGAGCAATCAACATTGAAGGAAGAATGGACAACAGTGAGAGTATCGTCAGCGTAAGCATTATTCTTATAAAACTAAAAAAGAGAAGAAAATGACTTTTCATTTGCCATAAAGAAAACAGAGGTTTACTACTCACGAAAAAGAGCATCGTTGACAATTTGGCTACCAAATCTAACACGCTATACAAAGGACGGAAGTGAGAGAATGCACGTAATACATAGCTTCAGGTATCGCATTTAGGTAGGTGGTGAAGCACTGCGATACTTTAAAACAAAGGAAAAAATACATTTGAAAAATTCGAACATGAGCGTAAAAGTTTTTTGGTTTTGAAAAGGATGAATCGCAAAGAAGTGTCACACCGTTAAACAAAAGTAACATACGTTAGAGATCATAACAAAATTCCATCTTCTAGCTTGACCCTTACCTTCGACGATTCGTCTTTATCTAACAACGTATTTTTACCATTAAGCGTTAAGAAACAGAAACAGAGCATGAGAAATTTCTGTATCGTGCAGCACTGATGATAGAGGGAGGCCGACTGGAGTAGTGGGAGTGCCGACGAAAAGGCTCGATTGGGCGTAGCTAGTTGCCAACGGAACGGTAACCAATGGCAGTTTTGCCACGATTAGAGACGAAAATGTGAAAAATTAGCAGAATTAATGCAACGCGCTGGGGTAACCATTCTTTCAGCGATTTAGGTAAAAGTAGATAGTAGCGATCGAGTTGGTTTGGAAAGATAAGGAGGCAAAATGTTCTTAGTTGATCAATGCCTGACAGATGCGTCATGCATTCGACTTCAGCAAGCATCGTTAGAGGCGAGTGAATGCATATCTGGCTGACGCACTGGCTGACACACAGTGGAGACCGATGTGTCGCATCAGTGCTGCTATCCTCCTGGACAAGTCTGGTACCAGTTTGCCGACCTCAGAGGGATGGAGGGCTTAGTGAGCGCGGCGCTTGAGATCAAGTACGGTAATAGAACAGTAAAAGTTCTTTTCGGCAAAGGATTGCAGGAAAGAACATGAATAGAATGGAAAGAATGTTGGTGGCGACTGATATGCCCAAGAGGCTTCACTTGCACCTGTATCCATGATCTCTCCCTCATTATAGGATGAAGAAAACGTGGCGAAAAGGTCAGTGTTTTCTTAAAGTGCGTAAAGTTGAGAATTTTATGGTTTCAAACTAGTTGTTTTTCGACTCGCACAAGCTCACACGGGCTGCTTTATTAAAAAGCTAATTAATAGAAGATAAAAAACCAGGAAACTTATCGAAATTCGAAGAGAGACGATATAGCTTACCTTTTACGATTCCGCGAGCAATTTCTCCTCAAGAAGTCATAGAGTAAAAGAGTTGACGCAGTTTTCCCTTGGAAAATCTGGGAGTAGAGAGGGAGTTCACATACTTTACGTTCCACTGAGGGTAGACTTTGTTTTCTATTTCTTTCCTTCTTAAGCATTAATGACTTGAATCATGCGTTAACGGTTAAAAAGATGTCTCGGTGCAGAGCAGACTTTTCACCTTACTCGTTTTCAGTGAAACTTTCTGCATTATGATCATCAGCAACCTCTACCTAAAAATTTACCAAAAGAATGCTCTTAAAAAACCTAACCGAAATAGATCACTAGATCACTTTTAGTCCAATACCTGAGAGCTCTAGCAACTTCTAAGAGCAACTCTCAAGGGTGAATTGTCTAATGGTGCACTTCAATTATATTGCATACATCACTACCAGTTTGATTCTTCGACTAGCTGATGTTGTTGTTTCCCCAAGGTCCTTTGCTTAATGCTCTAACGAAAAAAAGCAAATACCTCAGCGTTAGTGATCCCATTCAAAATGCGGACGGCCCATAAAACAGAGATGCTGACCCAGTACCGCCACGAGCCTCTCAAGCCTCTCATCCTTCAGGTGTCGAGGAATTGGTATAGTATTTTACAGAGAAAAGCCTACTCTCCCTGATCCATGTGGAGCTGCTCCAGCATGCCTTTCCGAAGATTCTAAAAAAACCTACTCGACCATCATTCAGTGACATTTATAAAGAAAATAATAAATTCCTAAGTAGCAGATAAACTGACACAAAAATAAATATGTGCGTTTTCATTGCTGAGCTAGCACGAGATTGATAAATAATTTCATTCGACTAGCCTTTAGACTTTTTCTTCTCCCACAGAGTCAGTGATCCGAGTCGATTTGCGCAGTCGGTCGTACTTACCATGTGGTGTCTTTGTCGTCGTTTCGAGCAGGATATTCTTCAGTGGTGCATCGATCGAACAAGTTATTTATCAAGTTCGTGTTAGAGTATCAATGAAAGAGCAGATGTTGGTTGCAAAAATAAATCTTCAAGACCTCCATGGAGGATGGCTGAGAGGAAACGAATCGAATGGAAGAAGTGCTAGGATGCGCGCAGTGTCATCTATGTGGTGTCGATCATATAAAGCAGCGCAATGCAAACCTATCCCGAAATTGTCAGTTACTACTTTTTAAAACAGGTTTTAGGAACCTGTCTATTTTTGAAAGCGTTGATAAAGTATGCAATTGCTTCATACAATACACGGAGTAATGGAAAACCAACAGATTCAAAGTCGCTATATTTAACATCAAGAATCCCTATTCTCTAATACCCTGCATCCAGAATCCATAGCTACAGAACCTACATGTATTTATATCCCTTTCACCTCTATTTCTACTTGCCTGCATGAGAAACTGCGTGAATGGGTCAGTAATCCCAGCAGGTCCATGACAGCAGCCATTATAACAGGAGGCACCTCTAAAACGTTAAAGTAGCAAGTGGTCTAAAGATAGCTAGTAAAATAAAACTGCGATATCTGCTGCCATGAAGCCAAGTAACCGTCATATCAAGCTTCAAGGCGTGTTGCTTAGAATATTATGACCAGCAAAAAAACCTTTAAGAATACCTCTTGGCAGTTTGAAAATGATAACAGGTGAACGGTTCGTAATTAAGACAGATTTGAACTATAAAAGAACAACTTCTGATATCTGTATCAATTCAAACATTTGTTCGAGTTCTTCATTTCTAATTAAAATCTTTTAGATCAGTGAAATGAGGCACAATTCTTGCGTAAATGGTTTTTGGTTCTATCATACAAAGTGTAAACAAGTTCTTCATCTATGGTACCTTCGTACAAACTACTCCATTAACTAGCACTATTTCGTAACTAGTGCAACAGGCAAGCAGCAGCACCGCAGTTAACTGACTAATCACCACCAAGTTAGCTACGAGGATACGTGGCACAGCTACGAGTGATGAAAATAAAGTTAAAAATAGAGCAGAAGAGCGACATTGCTCCTTGCCCGAGATGTCGATGATTTCTTTGGACGGCCGTTCTGTGCACATCCGTTCTGCAAAAGACCTGCAATCAAGTAGTCAAAAAATATAATGTAGGAAATGTGATTCTGAGATATTTTTAACAAATAAGCTGTCAGCGTTTTTTCGTGAAAAGCCCTGGAGACTGAGACCAGATTGCATTGCATGGGGACCTCATTCCTGTTACTCCAAGTTGGCGATGTGGCAGCGTCGCTAGAACTCTGCCGAGATCTCAGATACTGTGGTGAAGAGCAGCATTTGCACTACGACATTTTTTAAAGTATTTTCAAAATCTCAATCTTCCATTTGGTGCCTGAGGACGCCTGCTAAGAAGACTAAGTTCAACATTGTCAAACTGGGTGAGACGAAAGCGCACCACTCATTAAGGCTGTTGGTGATGTCTTAGAGGAACTTTTCCTCGGGACTGAAAGATGACCAAAAGGAATTAACATTAGTTCACTATAGGCATGGCAGTACGAGAAACAATAAATTACACGTAAACATGGAGTCCCTGTGAGTCGCAAGCGATTGCGAATTTACGTCCAAACATACGAGATTCTTCAGAGAAGCTTTTAAAGCTCTAGACAGCCAGGTCGTTCCCGTTACAAAACATGGCTACCTGAGTTGTATAATAAATCCGAAAATGTATGCTTAGTTAGTTCCAAAATGATATTACCACAAATGTAAGAAAAAAATATGACAAGGTGATACCATCAAAATTGTTCACAGTTGCTCTTGAGATCGTCATGCACTGGAGTGAAGCACCATTTGAACAAAGTTTCCTCACCCCTTCTTTCCATAGCTTTTTCGAAAAGAAACGTACTTTGGAGTATTCTATTCTATCAAGAAAACAATATGGTGGCTCATAAAACAGGCTTTCTGTTTTATTCTTCGTTGAAAACATTTTTTAAACAGAAAAAAGCTAACTGGAGAGATGCTTCCTTCGTTTTCCTCTTAAGGAATTTTTTCAGCCCACTTCACCGCATCATTCCGTTATTTCTTATTCATGCGGCGTAGTGGTCGGAGGCACCCTGCAGAACACTCATGGGATCGATGGGTGCGAGGTCCTTCACGGTAGTTTGAAACAAAGCGATAAAACATTACTATCTTCTTATACTTCTAAAGGCACTCTGCAGTGCACGTAGGATCGATCCCGCACCTCAGGCTCGTCAAGCCCTCCATCCCTCCGGGGTAGGCAATTGGTGCCCGACTTGCCTGAGAGAATAGCAGCATTGTCTTGATACATCGGTTGCCACTGCGAGCCATTGTAAAAAAAACAGATTTGCATTCAATCACATCCAGTTATGCTTGATGAAGTCGAGCGCTTGGCGCATCCCCCAGGGATTGATCTACGCGGAGAGCTTTATCCTTTATCCTTTACACCTTCTTTCATTTGGAAAATGCGAAAGGAGAGTGGAAGGATATAGTCATTTTTTCTCCCATTACTTCCAGCTGCCAGTGAAAGCAACTGTGGTGAGATTCTGTTAAACGTTTAAACGAGACACTGCGTCAAGGGGCTTTTCACTTGATTATTTCCGTGATGGTCCAGTTATGAAATAATCAGCAGTTGTGAGTCGCGGGCTTGCGACATCCATCCTCTTTTCCTTCTCCAAAAACTGCCTGGTTGAGCAGTGTTCCTAATGAAAAATTATGGTTATCGGGTTCAGTTAGTAGCAGACGAATTAACTCACCAATATGGCAGTTACAATCGAGTGGATATGGACGAGAATTGCCAGGA